TNNTNNACAAAATTTCCTACAAAATGCACTAAAAATCAAGTTTCTAGAACCAATTTAAGCCGAGTTATGGTCATTTGAAGTTTTGAGATTAGAGACGCAGTGTGTCTCGTTTCTCTGCGTCTCTCACCCCCAAAACTTTAAATAAGCATAACTTGGCTCAAGATAGTCGTAGGAGTTTGGTTTTTGGTCCTCAAAATTTAAATTTTAAAAACTTCGAATTTTGAAAGTTTTAAAATTTTGAAAAAAGACAAAATTTTGCTACAAAATGCACTAAAAAACAAATTTCTAGGACGATTTTGAGCCGAGTTATGGCGTTTTGAAGTTTCCGGTCAGAGACGCAGTGTGTCTCGTTTCTCTGCGTCTCTCACCCCCAAAACTTTAAATAAGCATAACTCGGCTCAAGATAGTCGTAGGAGTTTGGTTTTTGGTGCTTTTTTGGTTAAATTTGGTCTTTTTTACTTTTTTATGTTGTTCGACCTCAAAATTTAAATTTTAAAAACTTCGAATTTTGAAAGTTTTAAAATTTTGAAAAAAGTCAAAGTTTTGCTACAAAATGCACTAAAAAACAAATTTCTAGGACGATTTTGAGCCGAGTTATGGCGTTTTGAAGACTGGAGGGTAGAGACGCAGAGTGTCTCGTTTCTCTGCGTCTCACTCCTCAGAATCTTCAAATGACCGTAACTCGGCTTAAAATGATCGGAGGAAGTTGGTTTTTGGTGCATTTTTGAGCAAATTTTATGGGTTTTCTGGGAAATGCAAGTTTTACAATATTTGGAAAAAAACATTTCGGAACACTTCTAATTCATTTTAGATCTACTTAAAATCGGAAAACGCATCTCAAAATGTACTGAAACTTTTAAGCATTTTTTTTTCTCGAACTGAACATTCAAAAGAAGGCTCAAAACCTTCTGAAACACTTTTCAAAATTTCCAAAGAAGATTGTAGAATTTTCCAATTAGATAAATAAAGGAGACGTTAATGAACAAAAGAATGGAACGGTGATAAACTGATAGTGGTCGGAATCGGATAGGAAATGGCCGCCGTCCTCGCCGAGAAGAAAAAAAAAGGAGAAACAGCGTTTCTTTCTCTTTGAACAAGTTCGAATTCCTTTTTCTCGACGAAAAATTGAATACGAGAGAAGACAGGTTCAAGGTTAGACCGATCAACATGGGCGGAACGCACAGATTTTCACGAGAAGGAGATTGGCTTAACAGATATCGAAAAATGTGTACTTTCTTGTCTCAAAAGTACATTGACTGGTGTTGACCTAGATAACACCAGGGAGGCCTTGATCAGTGAATCAACAGTTTGTGATTTTTGAGCTAGAAATTGTAGATTTTCAGTCAAGATATTCTGAAAAATTTGATAATGGTTTTTATCCGAATTGCATTCTGCCCGAACACCAATAAAATTTTCTCTAAAACGCACCAAAAATGAGCTTTCTAGGACTATTTTGAGCCGAGTTACGGTCATTTAAAA